GCTGAAAACGAGCCATTGAGTTACTCAAAGTGTGGAGGAAGAACAACTAGCCGATCTTCTAAACAGGCCCTTCAGTCGTGCAGTCGTTAATCAGTGACCACTTTGTTCAAAACGGTTTGCCCCAGCCTTTCTAGAGAGACAATAAACTGTAAACACATTTCCACATTGTGCCCTATGAACACTAATACGCGGATAACTAATGCTTATCCCGAAAATAACGGAAGTCCTGTTTATCAGTTGATATCGCTACTGTCTTGCACACAGACGCACAGGGTCGCAAAAGACCTATTTTAACAGACCAAGACGCACCAATACCGTAATTAGTAGGGAACGAAGATTTCGCGGGTTTCTTACAACAGATGAACAGCTCATTTGTGACTTTTTGCATATAAGATTGATCTTCTCCTTATTGTGGTTTCACACAGCGTTCGGTGTTTTTTTCCTGAGTTCCTCTTCATCCAAACGTCCCGAGTTAAATGTAATAAAGGAGTTTTGTGCGACCTGTGATTTCATACACGTTTACACATACTTCCTGCATTTTTTTTCCTGAGTTCCTCTTCATCCAAACTTCCCGAGTTAAATGTAATAATGGAGTTTTGTGCGACCTGTGATGTCATGCACGCTTACACATACTTCCTGCAAGCCTTCTCGTAGCGGGACTGTAAACGGAAAACCGGTGCGTGAACAAATAGTGAACAAGTAGCTTGCACATTGTGGGCTCGGAATTTTGCTATCTTAAATGTAGTTTCTCCCGATAAAGAGTCTGCACGAGACAGGAGAAGATACATAAAGGTCTCCCGCCTCACCAGTGTGGATTTCCTTGGTTTCACAGAGTGGCTTATATTTAGAGACACGGGATCACTAACGTCGGGACACACAGAGCCCCAAATCGGTTTCTCCCAGCTAACTTATATAGTTTCAACGGCTTTCTGACAACTTCGTAAAACTAAACCAGAGGCCCTTGGAACTGTGCCATGAATTTTGAATATGGGCCACCTTTGATCGAGGCTTACACAAATACTGCAGTGCCAGTAGGCTTACCTCGACAAACTTAGTAGTAAATTGTTAGTCTCTTTTGAGTGACATACAGTTCGTGGTAATTTACAGTATATTACTTAAAAAATGTGCTGATAGTCGTCCTACGGTTAGTAATATTTCTCTTCTTCTAGTGCCTTTTACTTTTTACTAGTGCCTTCAAATCTATGTGCACACCTATACGTGTCCCAAAATGAAGTTCCCTTACGAGTGTGTAATGCTTCTAGGCTAGTGTACCCTTTGGGATATATCAACCCAGATTATTAGTGGGGAATTTTCAAGTTCCATTTGATAGCAATACTTGGATATCCACACAAGAAAAATCATAGTCTGAGGGGCTTGACACTGGGTTAGTTGATGAAGTTGACGCATTATCAAGTTCCATCTAGGACACCGCCGTACGAGGGGACATGTTTGCACGGAGCGAAGATATTTCTGTTGCTGGGGCAGCTGAGATAAGCGTTGATGCTGCACCATCAGAAAGATACCCGAAAACACCTCCCAAATTTCTCACCAATTTTAGCTCTCAAGACCGAAATAATCCCTGCATAGCAAAATGGTTATTTGGCGGCTAAGAGTATAATGTCGGCTACTATGGTTTGAGAAATAAATTTATTTTTGGTTTATCGGTTACTGCCAGAGTAGTAAGGCAGTAAGTGAGTAGTATTACTTATTTATTAGGGAGTGCAAAGTGAGGTTAATAACGTCGACTGTTGTATACTATTTATAGGTTTCTGTAACTAGGTTGAAATGAGCTGGGGTAATCAGGGTTCCGTGATCATGATTTCTGGATTCATCAATAGTTTCGGTGTCTCTCGCGTTTACACGCCAACCACGTATTACTTAGAAGACTGTGGTGAAGACAACTGCGCACGCTGTGCGTGCAGTTCAACGCTAGGAGTGGCCAATATCCTCGATTTGGGGATGAGGTAGAAGCCATCACTTTTCTCTAGAGAGTGGACACAGGCCATTGATATGCTCAAGAATGCGGTAAACGCTCCTGCAGATATTAACAATCACATTTATGTGGTTGGTCCGTTTGACTGAAGGTACTCTTCTACCGCGTCACGCCAAAAAATAACTGACCCTTAAGATTCCCATGGTATATTCATCATGCACTTCAATGGACCCCTCGAACGCAGGTCGCTGCGCACCTTCTTGT